CGTCATTACTCATCTACACACGGCACCTCAGAATCTTCATACCTAAATCTATGTCGACGACATTCTCATCACCGGCAAACAATCCAGATATAATAACTCTCTCTAAAAAAAACTAATTCTGGAATTCCAATTAAAGCAACTAAGGTGATATCTCTTTGTTTTTATGGGTATAAGGTGACCAAACGGCCTTACGGATATTCTTTCCGCAACGCACTATGCACAAAGCTGCTCCATACTTCCGGTTTCAAAAACTGCTAAGCCCGCCCAGACGCCAATTGCTACTCCAGAATTCAAATGTCGAGCCCTTCGCCTCCGCTTCGAAGATCAAACCTCAAAAAATTGCTGCTCACTTCAGTATTTGTACATCACAAGGCCAGAATATAGCTTCGGCCACAAACTACCGGCTTGCCCAACACATGCAAGAGCCCGACGCGCTTAAAGTCTCAACGCGAATTCCTACGTTATAATTAAGGAACATCTCAACTGGGCATGCCACACTTACCAAAGGCAAACTTCAACTAAAAGCATATGTTGACGCTGATTGGCTCCATCAAACCGACCGGAAATCCATCTCGGACACTGTATGTTTTGGCACACTCTTTGTATGTGGTCCGTCAAAGCAGATACCGTACCCAAGTCTCCCCACAGAAGCCGAATATCGTGGCACTCATCCGCCGCAACTTCGAAGTTCTGTGGCTTTCGGCCGGCTGTTAGCCGACACTCAGCTCCCGCAAACATCCCCTAACCTCCAGATTTTCTCCGACAATTTCAGCTATAGCTCTCGCCAACAACCCAGTGTTCAACGACAAGACCACGAAGCACATTGAAATCGATTTATCATTTCATTAAGCGGACATCTTCAATCAGTTGCTATTGGTCGTCTCCCCACATCAGCTCAACCTGACCTAGCTACGCCGATATTCCTCAAACAACCATTATCTGAAAAGCGCTTAACATTCTTCGACCCAAACTACCATCGTGCTCAGGATGACAATTTGCGGGACTGTTAGACGCTCTCTTCTCAGGCTCTAGTGATTCTGATTCCGTTATATAGTAACATTTCTTGTTCAGTTCTTGTTTTATTTTGCCTATATAGCTCTGTAACTAAAATTTTACTATTCGAATTCATTTCCCCCTTTCCTTCTCTCTTTCTCCGGTTCCTCCTTCTCTTCTGCGCTTCCCAGTCAGCTACACACGGCTGAAACCGCTGTCAAATGTCCTCACCAACCTCCTCTTAATTTTTTGGACCTCTCATCTACAGGTGTTCTATGGTTCTAGTATCAACCCATGATGAAGCAAGTAGAATTTCACGTCTCACTCACTCCATCCTCTTTTTTCTTTAATTTCATCTCCCACACTTGCTCTTCCAAAATCCTCATTCTCTCTATGGCTTCAATGCAGGCCAATAAACCATTGTTTACATCTCCTCTAAATTTCAATAGCATATATCATCCATTGAATTATCCCTTTTATCATGATTTTCACTCGACACCTAATCCCTACACTAGGCAAAAATCAAAATACCTTATCCATCTCAACTTCTCCACCACTCGCTGCTGGCACCATATTAACCCTGTCCAAGTCTATCTAATTCACACCACATTCAATATTTAATCAGTTTGCTGGAAAACTCTATATAACATCTTTCAGCTACAGTCATATATTTGTGATTAAATATTATGCTATTATAGTTACATAGGTTTTAAGATGATAATCATATAAAAGTTATAACTTATGGTTTAACTTTATGATAGAGAATCTATAGTTGTGCGATTATGGATAATATTCTATCGATAGAGAATATAATTTAAACTGTTCTTAGTTTTTGTACAAAAGTCCAGCACCAATATAGATAAAACAGTATGGTGCAACATATTCAAGTGACACCAAAATTTAACTTAAAAAACCTTGAAAAGGGGAAAAAATCACGGTGCCTGACCAATTTTGAAAGAATCCACCTATATTGTTATTGATCAATAATGATGCCCTCTTTCTGGTGAGGCTTGTAGATGTTAAATTATCACTTAAAGCGCAAGTACATTGATTGAGGATAGCAAAACGTTGTTCTTAAGATGTGTTGATTATATTTAATTGGTCAATATGACCATTGCGTAAGCAACGGTGAATGAGAGGACCTGTTTATAGGCGATGGTGTCGGAATGAATCGTATTTAGGCAGGTGATCATATTGGTAATGATGGTGTGTATAAGAACCATAATAAGTTGGGCAACATGGTCGTGGTCGACGTGGTCGGAAGGACCATAGTCGACCACGGGCGACATGGTCATGAAGTGACCGATGGTCGTTAATGACCGCGTAGGCAATAAATATGGTAGCGAGCGACGATGGTTGGATAGGATCGTACTCGAGCACGGTAATGGTGGTCAACATGATAGTTGTATGCGACAATAGTTGGAAGAACCGTAGTTGACAGGACGATGGTGGTCAAAACTGTTGTCTAGCGATGGAGGTCAAAGGATTATAGTTCAGCAGGCGACGGTGACTAGAAAAAATGTTGTATGGAGATAGTGGTCAAAATGATGTAGCCATGTGGGCATTGTGGTCGAAAGACCGTTGTCAGGCATCGGGGGTTGGAAGGGAGCAGTCGACAAGCAACGATGTAGGAAGGAAATCCGTCAACAAATTGGTGACCTGGCGTAAGTTGGCAACAATTTGGTGGACTGACAAAAATCCGGCAAAGTCCGGTGATGATTGGATTCGATCTTGTCCAACCGCTCAATGTGGTCAGAATTCAATGATCTTAAAATCATTGGATTCATGCTTGTCCAGCCACTCAATTAGACTATAAGCATGCAACATTTAGAATCATTTGATCATCAAATTTATGGTTTGTACTTTGCAAATGTGCTTCATGTCCTCGATTTGGGACCCATTTGGGCTCAGATTGGGTTCAAATCTGGTGACATTGGGTTCATCTTCTGCGATATGTTTAGTTCGATTGTAAGTTTGCTAAAACAAGAGTTCAGACGGTCACGGATTTAATTTCGAAGTTCCCACTCAAATTTGCCTCAAGATCGTAACTGTCAAGATAATTTTTTATGATATATAATAGTATTTTTTGTTATAAATACATCCTCATTATAAAGAATATCTCATTCATTATATATTTTTTCTTATTATTCACTATTCATAAACTTATATAAGCATGTATTGTACACCAAAATTCGATCAAGTAAAAATATAACTTTTTTTATTCTTTTTTATCAAACCTCCAAATAGCTTCATTCATTCCATTCATGTCCATCTTCTAACTTCCTAAGTGCCTATATGCCCCAACCAAAAGAAATAAAAACTTTAATATTCAAGGCCTTCGAAGGGGCTACATCTCCAGTTTTTATAAGTCTCTTTAGATTTATCTATATGTATAGAGCCATAAAAGTAATTGATAAGGTGGCATATATGTATATAGTTTATCAATTCTTTCAGATTATTATCATATGATTGTTTATTTAAATGTAGCGTAATTATTATGAAAATTTGGTTATTCTAAATTAAATATAATTTAAAATTTTAGTTTATTATTCATATTATATATATAATTTAAAATATATTTTAATAATTTAGAATTTATATGGAAACAACTTTTCATATTTTTTTTAAAATAATTTTTAGTAAAAATTTTTTAATTCAAAAAATTTTGATATACTAAAGAGTTAATTTAGTAATAATAAAAAAGCTTAGTACAACTTACTATTTATAAATAACTTATTAGATAAATTTTTTTTAAAAATTGAAAATTTTTAACTAAAAGTTTGAATTTAGAATAATAAAAAAAAATTCCATACGAGTCCAAGTCTTTGTTTTATGACTCGGTGTCAATTTCGGGTCACGGGTAAAGGTTGGGGTCGAACCGAACTGGACCCGGCATCAAACGGGTCGACCCTAACCCTACCCGGTAGATAAAAACGGCTCGGAAATCCGAACCTGGCCTACCCGGCGGGTTGCCAGGTTACCCGACCCGACACGGACCCGAACGCGGTGAGCCGGCGTGCAGCGAGCGGCGAGTGCGGGTGCGCGCGCGGGCGAGCAGCGAGCGCGTGTGCGCGCGGTGAGTGGCGAGCGCGGGTGTTTGCAGGGGAACGACGAGCGTGGGTGCGCGCGCGGTAGCGCATGCGCGCTAGCCTGGCAGGAGCGGCAGCGTGCACAGCAGCGGGCGTGCGCGGGCAAGCGGGGCAGCTTCGCGAGCAGCGCGGCAAATTTAATTTATCGGGTTTGCGGGTTAACCCGGCAACCCACTGGGTTAACCCGAACCCGATCCGTTTTTTCAAACGGGTCGAAATCCGGGAACTAGAACCCGAACCCGTTTTGAAATCGGTCGGTCACATCCGGATT